CCACCACGAAGACCCGCCGCTCGCCACCGCCGCCGCCGCCCTCCTCCTCCTCCTCGGCGCTCAGCGCGGCCCGCAGCTCTTCGGCTCGCCTGCTCTTGCCGCTCCCCGGCAGCCCGCACAGTATGATCAGCGGCATCGCGCCTTCCGCTCACTCCGGAGGGAAGCCGCAGCAGCGGCCATGTGGGTCGCCAGCGACGGCCTCTTCCGGGAAGGGGAAAGCGAGCCGGGCGGACCAGCGAGGGGACTGGCGGAGCGACGTCCTTCGAGCGCCGAGGCGTCACTTACCGGAAGACCCCGCCTACCGCCTGGCAATGGCTTCGGAAGTGGCTGCCGCTCAGAGGCACGTGGTCCCTTCTGAAGGGCGGGGCTTCCGCACGGCACTAAACGTTTCCAGAGGTGAATCCCGGGGGCGGCAATACTCCCTCTAAGCTTTGGGAGCCCTGTGAGCAAGCATTCTACTCTGTGAGCTTACAGTGCCATTAAAGCTGTGAGCGAGGGATTTGGCTGCTGCATAGATTAGTTTGCTCTGCAGCCATCCTTCCTGAGCTAAGACAAGAATGTGTGAGCCGGAGGCTAAAGAACTGTGAGCTAGCTCACACGAACTCGGCTTAGGGGGAACACTGCTGGGTGGTAGGGGTGGGCCAAGCCACCATCTATAGGGAGCAGTGTCCAAGCCAGGCGCCTGTATCTCTGGGCCGGTGCAAGGCACCTGCCATACTTGCCCTCACCACTGCACTGTGCGCATACCGTTGTGCTTGTGCTCCTCTTTACTGGCTGCACCGACTGGATTGGATTTATACCCCACCCTTCACTACCCAAAGGTGTCTCAGAGCGGTTTACAAACTCCTTTCCCTTCCCCTCCCCACAACAGACACCCTGTGAGCAGTGTTCCCTCTAAGCTGAGTTAGTGTGAGCTAGCTCACAGTTTTTTAGCCTCCGGCTCACAGATTTCCGTCTTAGCTCAGGGAGGATGGCTGCAGAGCAAAAGAATGTATGCAGTAGCCAAATCGCTTGCTCACAACTTTAATGCCAGTAGCTCACAAAGCAGGATTTTTGCTCACAAGACTCTACAACTTAGAGGGAGTATTGCCTGTGAGGTAGGTGGGGCTGAGAGAGATTCCGAGAACTGCTCCTGAGAGAACTTGTGACTGACCCAAGGTCACACCAGCAGCTTCACACAGAGTGGGGAATCAAACCCAGTGCTCCCAGATTAGAGTCCACGCTTCTAACCATGACACCAAACTGGCTCTAGTCAGCTCCTAAATCCAACCCAAACGCTGGATGAAAACAAGTCACATGACTTGCCTAGCTCCATGGGTCCCCAGGGGATCAGAGTTTTTTTAAAAAACCCATCCCCGCTGCCTTCAGCTACAGAGTATTCCTCTGGTTCTGAAAGCAAGATAGGCTAACTCCTCAGTCATGGCTTTCCACAGATCCTGAATCAGAATTTTACTTCTTGGTAAGACATTTTACTGACCTGGATAGTCCAGGTTAGCCCAATCTTGGCAACTAAGCGGGGTTGGCCCTGGTCAGTATTTGGATGAGAAACCACTAAGAAAGTTCAGGGTCTTTACACAGAGGCAGACAATGTTAAACCACCTGTGAACATCTCTTGCCTTGAAAACTCCAAGGGGTTGCCATGAAGTGCCTGTGACTCCACACCCCCCCCCCCACTTTTTTCTAAGGGGCATGTTACAAAAAAGTGAAGCACTTAGCAGTAGCAATTTCATGGAGTGCCCATGGCTTCTTGTATTGTGAGAAAGGGAGAAAAGTACTTCTTTCTCGGCCTGCTCTATCCCATGCATAATCTTATAAACCTCGATCATGTCACCCCTCAGCCGTCGTTTCTCCAAGCTAAAGAGCCCCAAGCGCTTTAACCTTTCTTCACAGGGAAAGTGTTCCAACCCTTTTATCATTCGAGTTGCCCTTTTCTGCACTTTTCCCAATGCACTTTTTCATCCTTTTTGAGATGTGGGGACCAGAACTGTACACAGTCATGTAAAACCACCGATGCTTATTTTCAGTGACACTTTATTCTAGCATAGTTGTTGTCACAGCACACGTATTACCATGAAAAAATAACATCCGAATTTCTGTTCCTCATTTTAACATGGAATATACATATTGATGAGATGAGTCAACAGTTAAACCAGGTGTTAGTCAAATTACCCACTCCTGCCTTGTTTCTGTTTTCTTCATTTCCAACAATTTTACGGAGCTATTTGAAACTATTTTTCCCCTGTTTTAAACTCTGAAGACTTGAGTGCAAAGAAACAATGAAGACTTGCAAGAAAAGGCAGAACAGAATGAGAACTGTAGTTTTTGTGATGATCGCCACACCTCTGAAAACCAGACATTGCCCAGGAGTTCCACAGTGAAGAACATATTTATTTATTTTTATTTACTTAATTTATACCCTGCTTCCCCCCCATGGGGTCCCAAAATGGCTTATCTCATTCTCCGCTTCTCCAATTTATCCTCACAACAACCCTGTGAAGTAGTGTGTGACTGGCCCCAGGTCACCCAGCAAGCCTCCGTGGCATGAGTGGGGATTCAAACCTGAGACCGATTTCCCACAAGCAGCTGCGCCGCCCTCACACTTCCCTTCCCCTGATTGCATTAGTCAATTTCCCACTACTTGCTGCGCGGCCGCATTTTGACCCGCAGCATCCCCTGATTTCCCCTGCGTCTTCACAACCCTTGTTTTTTGAGATCGTGAAGACGTGGGGGAAATTGGGGGGTGCTGCGGGTCAAAATACTGCTGTGCAGCAAGTAGTGAGAAATTGACTAATGCAATCGGGAGAAAGGGAAGCGCGAAGGCAGCACAGCTGCTTGTGGGAAATCAGTCTGAGTCTCCCAGATCTCAGTCCAACACCCTAAACACTACACCACAGTGGCTCTTGCAGATAACCGCACTGGAGCAGCAGGAGGCATTGGTGTATCTACAGCCAGTGAGAAGGCAATGTAATTTCTCAATTGGTGATTAAATTGGTTTCCCCCCATTAAATCCAGAACCCTAATTGTATTTGCTGGTTGTAGCAAATCGAGCTTCCAGGGCATGTCTAATGAAATAAGTACATGGCTCCAGAAAGCTCATTGACACAGTAAATGTTCTAGTCTTCAAGAGAACTCACAGTGTGACTTTCACCCATGAACTGTTTCAGGCTTCCTTCCTGGTTTTGAAATGTTAATGACTGACACAGACAAGCAAATGGAATACTGGCCCTTTGGCTGGCAGTTGTCCCTCCCCTATCATGGAAGGGAAGCTGTCTGCTGATTACATATATATATATATGTAGCGCCTTGTAAGTTAGAAAAGCAAACAGAAACATCTTTCAAAACTGTTCCAGGGATCGTAGACAGAGGAGCATTACGTACAGCTAGCTTCCAGTGCATATTTGTAGAACCTTTCTCCCCAGAGTTCAGTTCCAGAAAAGAAAGATATGTTTTCACTGAATACAGTGTAGGCGCTTTGAAATCACGCTTACTGCTCTAAAAAAGTCACATCTTTAGGACTGTCAGCCAATGCTCCCTCTAAGCTGTGGAGTCTTGTGAGCAAAAATTCTACCTTGTGAGCAACTGGCATTAAAGTTGTGAGCGAGCACTTTGGCTGCTGCATAAATTAGTTTGCTCTGGAGCCCTCCTTCCTGAGCCAAGACAAAAATGTGTGAGCTGGACGCTAAAAAGCTGTGAGCTAGCTCACACCAACTCAGCTTAGAGGGAACACTGCTGTCAACCACCTGGTGAAGATCTCCCAGAATTGTAACTGATCTCCAGACCACAGGGAACAGTTCCCCTAGAGAAAATGGCTGCTTTGGAGGGTGGACTCTATGGTGTTATACCATACCGAGGGCATCTCTAGACCACAGACATCAGTTTCCTGGAGAAAATGGCTGCTTTGGAGGGTGGACTCTATGGCATTATGGTGATGCTCAGGTCCCTCCCTAGGCCTTACCCTCCACGGGCGCCATGCCCCAAATCTTCAGGAATCCCCCAATTCGGAGTTTGCAACCCCAAACATAATGGCAGATCTCTTCCTGCAGTGTATAATTTAAACCAGGGATGTTGAACTCATTTGTTATGAGGGCCGGATCTGACGTAAATGAGACCTTGTCGGGCTGGGGGCCATGTGTGTCATAAAATGTAATGCCAGGTAGCGCAGATACAAACTTTGTAAAGGACACAGACAAACACAGTTAAAAAATTTTAAAACTCTAAATAACACATAAAAAAATGTAATGCCAGTGCTTTACCAGACTCTCTCAATCGCACAGGAGAGGCTTGCCTATCTACCTCTCCTGTGCGACTGAGAGAGTCTGGTAAAGTAAGATGTGATGTAGCAGCAGCAGGACTGGAAAAGGAAGCAGGAAACAGCCAGGGCCTTGCGGGCTGGATTGCAGCCCTCCGAGGGCCTAATCTGGCCCCCAGGGCCACATGTTTGACACCCCTGATTTAAACTGTTGGAAACAACAGCGGAGTGTAAATCTCTCCATTCAGCCATGATGTTCAGAGGTTAGGTTGCCAGCTTTGGGTTGGGAATACCTGGAGATTTTGAGGATGGAGCCTGAGAAAGGTGGGGTTTGGAGAGGGGAGGGACTTCAATGGGTGATGAATGACATTGAGTCTACCTTCCAAAGTGGCCATTTTCTGCAGGTGAACTGATCTCTTCCCCCCGGAGATCCATTGAAATCCCAGGAGATCTCCAGCCACCACCTAAAGATTGACAGCCTTATCACTGGGTAACCTTTGGGCAGCCACTTCCTCTCCCCCTCTCCACCTGGCCTTCCTCAGAAGGTTAATATGAAGGTAAAGCAGGCACAGGGAGAACCATCGACGCCACCTGTTTGTTTGGGCCTGGCTTTTGGTGGCTCATGGCTAGGGTTGAGTTCTCTAGGGGGCTGAGATCTGCATACATTGTTTTTAGACTGATTCTAAGTCAATATACGTATGGTTTAGATTGCCACTATTCTATGCCTTAAAGCAAAATAGATTAGAGCCAGCAGCTAGGGGGCAGGTTAGAAAGGTAGATAGAGAAGCAGATAAGCATGCATGCTAATATGGGAGTTATTCCCCAAGCCCTCGTCTGGTTCAGTCATGTGCACAGCAGTCCCTTTGAAATCAATGGATGCTTAACTACATACTAGATTATGGACCGATTCTGCTGAATGCTGAGAAAAGTTCCTGTTTGCCTTTTTTCAATA